CTCTCTCTCTCTCTCTCTCTCTCCCTGTCTTTCTCTCTAATCTCTATCTCTCTGTGTTCTCTCTTTCTCCCTCTGTTATTCTCTGGAGCATTCATTAGCCTACTTCCATTGTCTTGTTAACTTATCAACCAGATTACAAAGCCTGCACAGTCAGAGAAGCTCTCACATTCCCTGTGTGTGTGGTAAGTCACTGGATGGAACATGTCAGGAAGGCCAGAAGCATGAGACAGAGCACATTCAGCTAGTTCAGGGAAAGGGTGACTGTCTTCCCATCAGGGTTCAATGCAAGACAGACCTGCAGCCACACTAGCCATGATCTTCTGCCCTGCTCCTCCCTCGGGGATGCAGAAACAGGAACAGGACCTTAGCTTATGGCTCTGCCTCCCTGAGCACCATGACTGAGCCCTCACTTGCCCTGGAGAGTCCCAGGAGAAAGCCCTTCTTATGAACATAATTCGTGGTTAGGCCACATGGAAACTAGTGAAAATGGCAAGCTCCCGATTCACTGACAGGACCCCGTCTTAAATAACCAAGGTGAAAAGCAAGAGAGGGAAACATCCAGCATTGACTTCCGGTCTTTGTGCATGCACATGCTTGTGCACATGTGTGTACACTCATGTGCTGTGTGCCCTCTCTATGAAGGTGTCAAGAACAGTGTCAGAGTCCCCTTTATTATTGAAGGTAAATCTGGACTGTCTTAGAGCTATGGAACCTTTCCATCAGTCCCTGGTGTCCAGGTATCATCACACTGCTGTAGGTGTCACCAGAGACACCCAGCTGGGATATCTACTACCACCCTGCAAGTGTTGACCTGGGCAGTCTCTGAGACTGCTGGTCTGAGGCACCCCTGGGGAAGGATGATATGAACATCATCCTTCAAATGCTGAAGTTAGAAGTACCCGGGACAGACCGAGTGACTTGTGCTTCAGGGGGGCTGCGCAGAGCTGGGAATCAGCACTAGTTCATGGTCTCCTTGTGTCACAACTTTTTAGATGTACCGGTGTGAGCGAGTCTCAGTTCTTCCTCACACCCAGTTTCCTTCTCTGTAAAAAGGAAGGCAATGGTAACTTGGCAATATTCCACATGAGTCAAACTCACCTGAGAGCATCTGGAACTACGATGGTGCTGGCTGGAATTACCCCCTCCTCCCTTCTTCCATTGTGATGACAGGGGCACTGGAAACAAACCTGTTTTGAGAATAAACAACTGCTTGGCCTCATTAGATACCTAGTGTATACACCAGAGCACAGTATGGCTTGTTTTCATTTCTCCCACTGTCCATGCTTCTAGCATGTAGGCCTGGGCTCTCTATTTTAGACAGTGAGCCCCTGGGGGAGGGGGTGGGGCTCTAAGCTTCACTAGGCCAACTGTCTGTCTACTATGGATGACTATGGCAATGACAACACCCATCTTACAGCACATGAGTATACACAGGGTACATAGCACATGAGTGCACACAGCACATGAGTGTCTGGAGGGGTTACTAATCCAGCTTCAGTACTTATCTGGCAGGGGACACCATGATCACAAAGGTGGTATTTCCAAGACAAGCTTATCCATTGCACTCCGATGTGCTGACCCCTGTGATTTCCCAAATGTGAGAAACTTGCCTACACAGTTTGTGGTAGTGGGGCACTTCATCCACACTCTCTCCTGCTTAAAAACAAATTTTAATAAAAAACAAAACCCAACTTCACAGTTACCAGCCTATTCAGGTTCCTGGATGCCCCTGGCTTTGAAGAATATGAACATCATCCTTCAAATGCTGAAGTTAGAAGTACCCGGGACAGACCGAGTGACTTGTGCTTCAGGGACTGACACCCAGGGGGGCTGCGCAGAGCTGGGAATCAGCACTAGTTCATGGTCTCCTTGTGTCACAACCACCCACATTCATAATCTGTCTTTCTGGAGCTTGTCAAAGATCCTAGAGAGTGTCTGAAGAAGCCGGCCATCCTGCAGTCAGAGGAAACCACAGAGAGGGAGTCCCAAAGGATTGCAGGAGAGCCAAGAAAGGAATTTCCAAGTGGCAGCCTGGAGGCAGGTAGTTAGTGACACCTCATGCCAGGGCCAAGGACTATAATCTAGATGTGGCCTATAAATTTAGTCCCATCTTCCTGATAGTTATCAAGTCCCTTCTTGTGGAGATGGTTTTTCTTTTTCCCCAGTAGACCATCATATGATGCTTTGTTAAAAAAAAATGTGAAAAATAATGAAGATGCCTCTAATTATAGGGGTGACCTTTTTTCAACACATTTCCACTAAGGAGCAGTTGTCAGGAACCCACAGAAAAGGGTCAGAGAGGAAGCAAGTTAGGACCAGTGAAGACCGAACTACAAGATGGCCCATCTCCTCAAGGGAAGCCCCTGGTTCCTCCCCTTGGGTGACCCAGCAAAGGAAGTTTCCATCAAGACAGGGCCTGACTCAACCTCTCCCAAGCAAACCAGACATCAGCCACCAAACTGCTAGCACAAGAGTTTCCATAATGAGAGGCTTCCAGGAAAGCCCATAAAACCTTTACTGTAAATTCAATAAACTGGATTTTGAACATGGGGGGTGGTAGGAGAGCCTGGAGCCATACCACCAGCTCTACCCTCCCTCTGTTGTCACACACAGAAGACAAAAAGGCAGCCCACCCTTCTCCACTGCCAAGACCTCCCTGTTCCCCAAGTCATCTCAACACATGCTCCCCTACCCCACCAGGCCACCAGACCAAGTCTAGCCAGTCCTGCTGACGCTCTGCCATTACCAGTGGGAAAAGTCAAGCCCTCACACCTTTCCAGCCCACTAATGCTCAGGGCTACCATTCCCATGCTGTTAGTTCAAAGAACATTAGCCACCTGGTTCAGAAAAAAAGAAATGCACCCCCAAACCATTCAGCCCAAATCAAGAAGTTTAGCCTAAGGGAGAATTGCCACAGTACTCCCTCTGTCCTGGTCAAAAACCTCCTTTTGCTCAGTCTTCCTTGACCATTTACCAAGATCCATACTCCAAATCCCTCACCCTTGACCCTGATATTGAGCCCATGATTTTACACACACACACACACACACACACACACACACGCACGCACGCACGCACGCACCCATTCCATCTGCACATTTTAATCTTTTTCTCCAATCCCAGCCTCAGTCTGTTGTCCCAGGCCTTGGCCCTGCAGGACTCTGTGGTGCTGCAAAGTGTTCCATGTGAGCACCTCAGCCTGGACTGTGTGGGGGGATGCCGGAAAGAGCAGGCCTTGGGGTTGCGGAATTGGCATTTGGCTGGCTCCATCCAGTCAAGGTGAGTATCTGGAAAGGTCATGGCAGATTGTGTGCTGGGGAATGAGGCAGATGGCCTGTGTGGAAAGGAACAGTTTTACCAGCACAGGCTAGGAAATTGGGCTGTGATCAGCAGGTAGAGACCCCCAAAGCTTTTGGAGCAGAAGGAACTGAGACATCAGAGCTCATCCAACTCGGCACCAGCATTGTGAGGTGAGAAAACAGCCTGAAGAGATGAAGTGACTCGCATGGACACTCATTCACTCTGTGGTACTGTCAATAAGCCTGCTATGGGCCGAGCACAGCTCTGCCAAGATTAGGGTATCACATGAGATCACGTATAAAAACTGTGTATCACACTACCAAGGGAGGGGAGAGGAGAGGGAAGAAGGAGAGAGGGAAAGGGAGGGGAGAGCTGGGAGGCCTGTGAGCACCTGGGATATCCAGCCAGGTGTCCTGACTTGCCCACCACTTGGGAAGCAGCCTCCAGGAGGCCAAGACTCCCAGCAGGCTCCACAAGCCTGACCCTATCGGAACTGGCAAAAAGAAAGAGGGAAGAAAAAAAAAAAGAAACCCTCTTGCTCCATGGGGGTAGGGTTTCACATTCCTTCCCTGCCTCTTTGCTGGAGGACCACAGAGTCCTCAGCTGCAATACAAGCCTGTCTAGAAGGCATCCCACCCCCACTTAGACTGTGGACATTTTCCAGATATTTTTTAAAAACTGCTTTTGGGGGAGGCTGTTTTCCTCCAGCCCTGGCCCAAGGACAAGCCAATCAGCACTCACAGTTGGAGAGTACGGGGGCAGCATGTGTGGAGTACAGAGTACATCTGCCTGCAGGCTTGAAGGGCACCGATCTGCCTGTACTTTTCCATGAATCGGAGGGAGGGGTCAGCACGAGACTGGCTTTCCCAGGAAGGCTGCCTGGTGGCCTGGCATTCTGGAGATTTTTCCAGCCAGATCTGGTGAAGTTACTGGAATCTAACAGAGCCATGGCCAAGGTCCCCGAAGGTGTACAAGGATGGGCAGCTCTGATCATGTAGTGCTCCTAAGGGCCCTGCTCCCAAAGCCAGCTTCCTCTCCTTGAGGGACCTGTGCTGTAGCTCTTTATTCTGGGTACCTCCCCATTGTTTGCAGGTCATAAACACAGTGATCACTGGGCCCTGGTCAGCCTCCCCTCTAGCCTACGGTCATCTTTTGTGATTGGGTCCAGCCCAGTCACAGAGCCACACTGAAAGAATAAACTTCTGCCCCAAACAGAACAGGATATCAGCTAGCATAGAGGCGACAGGGGCTTTATGAAGCAGCAGCTAAGCACGTGGAATCCAACATCCTCACACTGGGTGGCTCTGTCACCTTTTTCTGAGCCCCGGCAAGCCACAGGATGGCGGGTAGGATTCATCAATATGATGCAGGTAGATACAAAGCTGGTGATTTATCATGACTATGAACAGCTGGACTCACCAGGCCTCATCACATCCTGACCTGTGAAGGCAAAAGGGAAGATGAAGGCTCAAGTGGTACCTCGAGCAGCACCGAAGGACCAGTCCCCCACCCTGTGAGCTGCATGGGACAGCTGCCCTTTGATGGTCAGGTGTGCAGAGGGAAAAGAGGTCCTAGCACATGTCTGCTCCTAGAGAATTCAGGAACTGAAGCTCTAGGGAGGCCACTTGGGACTCAGAAGCAGTCTCCCAGCAACAACCTAGACCTGTGCCCTGGACAGGACCCAACTTCCTGCTGGGCTGATGAGCTAGAGCAGCCAGCCACTTTCCAACCCCCTTCCCACCAATGCCTGCCTCTTCCTGCAAAACCTTGGACTAATACCATCACATGACACAATGTTTCCTTAAGTGCTGGTTGATGGGACAGGGTGTGCAGTATAAACATTCCAAGAATGCTATTAAATATGAATATTGGCTAATGACTGACTCCAAGGCCATATTCCCAGGTTATCAGCGATGCTTTTGAGCGTCAGACTAGAGGAGATTAGAATAAATCAATTCTCCGTGGTGCTTTTCTGTGTTTTCCAAAAGAGCAGATATAAGTTTTGTAGTCGTAAAGCATGATTATATATATTTAAGTTCACCCCTGGCCTTTTAGCACACACATTGAATCATACGCTTTCCTGATTACATATCTTCAATTGCTCCTCATGACACATAGGCTAAAACAGCAAGGCCTTTCAAGGTGTGGAGAAGTTCCAGACACCCTCCCCCTGCCCGCTGTACCTCATCTTTCTGGACATCACCCTCCAGCTTCTACCTCAAAGTCACCCTCTTGATATAGAACACAGTCCCCAACACTTACAGCTGTGTGACCTTCAGCAGGTTTCTTAACTTCTCTGTGCCTTGGTTGCTAATGCTGAAAGACAAAAGACCTCATAAGAGGAGATAATTGTGAGGACTGTGCCTGGCACACTATCTTCACCGCCATTGCTTTCCCCGTTGCTTCTTCGGCAGAGCACAAATGTCACTTCACTCTTACCTGGTAGATTTCTTACCCATCAGGCCTTCCTCACAAGGGCCTTCCAGCCACCAGCTCTGGACTCTTTCCATTCCTTTTTTTTTTTTTTTTTCATAGCATCTTCTGCCTTTCCTCTGGTGCACTTGTTAGAATGTCTAACATCACTGACATGGGGGCTGGCTTCGCTTCATGCCCGCCCCTCCACCAGACTTGAGCTCCATGAGGGTCAGTATCCTGGCAGGTTTGCTCACCTCTAAACAATCTGGGCTCTTTTCTGTCTAGCAGACAGTAGGTGCTCAATAGATGTTGACTGAAAGAATGAACAAGGTGCTTCCAAGATGACCACCAAATGTTTACAGTCCTGCTTAGGAACTGAAGCGCTGGCAAATAAAGGTGTGCTACATCATGGCCGTTAAAGCCATTCTTGGCCACTGCTATGTGGCTTCTTTTGCTTTTCTGTTTTTAGATTTATTTATTTTTATTTTACAGTAAAGTGTTTCGGCTGAATGTGTGTCTGCACAGCACATTCGTGCCTGATACCTTCAGAGGCCAGAAGAGGGCGTCTGAAACCCTGGAGCTGGAGTCACAGACCATAGCGAGCTACCAAACGGGTGCTCAGAATTAAATCCCAGTCCTCCAGAAAAGCAACAAGTGTTCTTACCACTGAGCCATCTCTCCTCCCCTCTATGTGGTGTCTTAGCATCACAATCTTTGCTTGTTTAGTTTTTGTTGTTGTTTCAAGCAGTGTAGCGATTTTGCAGCGAGCTTGTAGTAGCGGCCACACCTCCTTGGGCGTGGCCTCACGCAGACAAAAGCAAAAAGAGGGAAGCTTGAGGCGTGGCTTGCCTTTGTGTTTTCTTTCTGGTGGGTTGGTTAGCTGATCTGGTAAGAAGGGCAGAAAAAAGGCTTCCGCGGTTCTTTGTATTTTTCTGTGTAAT